ATTTCATGAAAAAAAAGAGAAGACTGCCAAGTACAATCAGGGTGTGGAAAAAGAGAAAAGTGGAAGAATGGGCAAATTTACATCAGAAGAACTGATTTTCCACTGCTGTGGTTTAGTGTTGCTTTGAAGTTCATTGTCACAGAAATTTGGCCTTTTACCCTACTTTAAAAATAAATTATGGAACTTTGGAAATGATTTGCTAGAGCAGCACACTTATTTTCTCTTTTAAAATATCGTGAAAGGAAAAAAAATGAGACAGGAAACTACTGAATGTATTTAGTGCAGTGTGCTCTGTCTCTCTGAACTATAGCATGAGTAATGCAAGGTTACTGCAGTAAGTACACATTTCTTATTGGATATTAGAGAAAATAGGTGTGTAAAATCCATGTAATTTGATAGCACATACATCACCACTGCCCCTGGGAGTACTGAATCATAAAGCCACATATTTAGCACAGTAAAAGAATATTTCTCATCTTTTCTCTGAGAAAATTCTATGGAAATGAGAGGGGGATGGGACAAAAAGCTTATAAATCAAGTACTAAAACAACTGTAGAGTTGCTGCAAAGACACGATGTATATACTTTATTATTTATTCCATGACATTTTATTTTAAGTGCCCCTCTCCCCTCAGTGTTTTTAGTACCAGTGTTAAATTACAGTAGCACTCTTATGGAAATACATGTGAGAGTCACATGAATACCAAATACATTCATTACGATCAGTGCTGAATTCCAGATGAGAATAGCTGCTTTTTTTTTTTTTTTTTTTTTTTTTTTTTCCCTTCTTGTGTAAACCTTCAAGGCAAAGTAACACATTTCAAACATCCTAGTCTGATTTTAAATTTGGAAAACAGTCTTAAATATACCACTGCCAAGTCAGATCAACTTAAAGCTGTGAGGAATGGAGGCAAGGAGCAGGAGGGGAGGCAAGACTGCCAGAGCAAAGAGACACTGTGAGAGAAAGAGGCGAAAATGAGAGCTAACATCAACTCCCCTGGGGTCTGCTGTAATCAGCAGACAAATGGTCTATACTCATGGTGTGTATTCATTCTGCAGCAAGGGGCTGCCAACAAGAACCTTCTTCCTATGTCTGTTTGGAAATACAGTACTAGCCTTCCTCTATTCAGATGCTTTGAAATAAAAAAAGAACTGCTGACAAACACTGCTTTGAGCATTTGACACTGCTTTTTGATCTAGTTACTCAGACAGTGTAAAATGAACAAATTAGGAAGCAACTACAAAAGGGTCTCAGTCCTAGCCTGCTAAAATGTCAGGGTTTACAAAAATAAGGCTTGTGGTTTTTTTTGTTTGTCTTCCTGCATCCTTCCCCTCCCTTCACTCTCTCCATTGTTTAAAATATAAAACACCTCTTACAATTGTTTCTTGTATTGTTTTTTGTTTGTTTGTTTGTTTGTTTTAGATATGGTCTGTGCATCAAAAAGACATTGTTATATATAACAGGTAACAAACATATTTATATATTCACCACCTAGATACCTGTACCATTTGTGTAGCTCCTATCTCTACAAAAGTTTTATACTGTGAAATGTCAAAAATTTCTTTCCCAGAAGGATTCCACTGTTAATAAACTTCCTCTTCTAGTAGGGCAAAAATAATTTTTGTCAGTGAACCACCCATAAACATGTTTAAACAGTGTCTCTGAAGCAGCACAACTGTTTTTTTCTTCAAGTAGATTATTTCTCAAATCACTTGCATGGTGACATGCTGTATACTGGGCACTACCAAGCTCTTGTGTGGAGTGAACATACATCATATGCTTTGAAGTATGTTACGTGTAAATGTAGAAAAGCTGTTCCTTTGAAACCACAACCCACTATGGATAGTGAGGTAAATGAAGTACGTTGTTAACGCAGAGATAAAAGCAGACATCATACCCCCAAGACTCATAATGAAATTAGATGATTTTTTTCTTTAACTCAATGATCCAGATAGATTCATTGATGGAGTAGCAAACAATTTCTGAGATTGCTAATACTGTAACATATAATTGCAGGATAGCAACTACTTATCCATTGCATTCAGCTGTTCTGTCAGTGCTCCTGAGTTTAATTATCAGTCTGCCTCAGAAAATCTATTTTTCCCTCTCTTTTTGCAACAACAAAATCAAATTTCAGTTGTGTTTTGCATTATAATACCTTATCATAAATCCACAGTTTAGAATGAATAATTATAATCATAGGTGTCTACTGATGGAAAACATTTGGAATGTGCAACCGTTTGTCAATGAGTCCATTTGTCAATGAATCTTTAGGAAGAACACCTGGAAGACTGGAAGTTCATCACCATTTCCTGATGTCTGTGACAGAGAGAGACAGAAAACAGTCTGCTTTTCCCTTGTAATTATTCTGCAGATAATTACAAATAATATTTGCCTCCACAAATGTTCCAAACAAAGGGCCAAAGGAGCCAGTAAAATTGTGTAATTTCAATGATTGAATGTGATTTAATGTTAGTTTTTTTCCTGGCCATGTCCCACCTGCTCATTCTTTTGTATGATCAAGTCTGTGCTCACACATATCACACATATGATAACAAAAAAAGGAACTTGTTTTAGATGTGCTTTGTTTTTTTACCTATTTTTATTTATTTATTTTAATTAATTAATTGTGTGTTTAATTATTTATTTATTTAATGTGGAGGATCATTACCAGGGACAATGCACAGTTAGGGGCAGATCATGGTCTGTAAATCAAAAGAAAAATGTTTTTTCTTTCTTATTTTTTTTAGTGAATGTTATGCTTTCAGTAGGTGCTGGATTGGCAGTCTCAAGCTATATTCCTATTCAGCAAGAGAAGAGTCAAAAGAGACACTGTAGAAAGAGAAGCTGCCTGTGCCAGAGGTTTGTGTCCCAAATTGGAAGGTCTGTATTTACAGTTGTCATGTCAGGTAACCTCCAGGACACACATAATATTTATTTGCTTTTCTCAGCTATGAAGTAAGGCACTAATTGCTACACCTTCTAAGATCTTTCTCTTTCCTCTGTATATGTAATAAATATGTAAATAGATGTGTGTTACTCTCCTACCTGCAGACAAAGCCATGACACCAGGCATGGACTACATGCCCTTACCACTTAGAAGTGATTTGTAGCTAAATTTTTTTATTCATTTTATCCATTACATACATGTTTCAGTCCCTCTGGGAATCCAGCTTTGAAACCTGCTGTAGAGAGGATCTGAAGCAGAGAAAGATGGTTCTGCACCCATTGTTTCCTTCAAACACCCCTATGATTTTAAAAGCTCTGTTGAAATGGATCCTGGTGTGGATATGCTGTGAAAGTCACTGTTAATGGTACTTCTGTATTCTCATGTCATGCTTCCTACTTCAACAAATATGTAGTCCTAGAAAGCTATTTTGAATAAATAAATTACAATACTTACAATTCTAGACAAGTTAACAAAGTAAGAAAGTATTTTATCTAGGAAAAACATAGATACAAGAACTGGTACTGGAGAATGATGATGACTTCCAAGTAATTCTTAAGTAGTTAATCCACTACAGCTAAGGATTGTGGTGATTATCTTTTGTATCTTTTCATGATCTAGTTACAAACATTATTGCAATAGCCCTAAGTAGGCAAAGTCAACCTATCATTTATACAGTTGCACAAGTAAATTTCTAAGCTCTTAAATTCAGAAACATGCAATACACTCCACGTGGGGAAAAAAATATAAATGTGTATTGGTTTATTTAAAACTTGTTTCAATACAGAGTTTGAGTTTTATGGTGGCCATGGAGAACCAAAGCCTTACCTTTCCTCCCCTGCATCATTGCTATCTGGAGATGTCAGACATCTTGATGACTGTCACTGAGGATTAGCATGGAATCCGGATTTTCACCATGGGTTGCACGTAGTACTCTTTGAATAACAGTCCATTAAATGCTGGGCAGAGTGTCAACTGCAATGTCCATCCCACTCTTTTGATCTCCTGTTTCTTTGCAGTCATGTAAGAAGAGAAACTCTGACATTTTTAATCTCAGTAGAGGTCTGTTATCAAAATTATGTCAGTCCTTTCCAAGTAAATGGTAGATCATAGTCATGTGTTATTGTTGCAGGAAGGATTCCTTTGAGAACTGGCCTGTGAAGTAAAACCTGCATATGATTTTGACAACAGCTTCTTCCTTGTATTTAAATTGTCCTGTTCTTATTTATTCTGAACACACCTCTAGGGCTGCCAGGAACAAACTGATAAACAGGTCTGTGAATGCTGGTTGTGCAGAAGGGTTGACATTTTAAAGGTAAACATTGAGACTTTTCATCCAGAAGATGCAACAGCTGTTACTTATACTGATATAACTTCTGACAGATAGTGATGAGTGATATGTAATGTCATTTCAAGATGAGAGGCTACCACTTCGTTAAAAGAACCTCCACTGAATGTGAACCACAGGATTGAACCCAGCTGCACTGAATCTCTTGGTCTGGTAAACGATGGACTTAAGTGCTACGAATACCCTATAAATTTGTATAACAAATTTGTGAACAGGTCCTCTCATACATTATGAGGACTGTTTTAAATGTAGAATTTCTGCTGTAGCAGTTGCCTGGCAAAATTTTGCCAAGCAGGGTAGAATCATAGAATCATAGAATATCCTGAGTTGGAAGGGACCCTTAAGGATCATCAAGTCCAACTCTTGACAGCGCACAGGTCTACCCAAGTTCAGACCATGTGAGTAAGCGCACGGTCCAATCTCTTCTTAAATTCAGTCAGGCTCGGTGCAGTGACCACTTCCCTGGGGAGCCTGTTCCAGTGTGCAACCACTCTCTCTGTGAAGAACCCCTTCCTGATGTCCAGCCTAAACTTCCCCTGCCTCAGCTTAACTCCGTTCCCGCGGGTCCTGTCGCTGGTGTTAATGGAGAAAAGGTCTCCTGCCTCTCGACACCCCCTTACAAGGAAGTTGTAGACTGCGATGAGGTCTCCCCTCAGCCTCCTCTTCTCCAGGCTGAACAGGCCCAGTGCCCTCAGCCGTTCCTCGTACGTCTTCCCCTCCAGGCCTTTCACCATCTTCGTAGCCCTCCTCTGGACACTCTCCAACAGTTTCATGTCCTTTTTATACTGTGGTGCCCAGAACTGCACACAGTACTCGAGGGTAGTTGGAGGCCATTATATTCTGGCCCCTAAGTTCCTCCCAGCTCTTGTACCAGAGATCCTACAAAAGCATTGTGCAGGTAATGTCACTCTGCCAGTTGAGGACAGGTCACATTTCCAAGTGTGTATAGAGCTTTGGAAGTGTCTCTAGTCAGTGTTGAGCTTGACAGTGGTTAAAGGAAAGCTCCAGTGGTCCATCTCGTCCTATAGGGTAAATTTCACTATAAATTTGATTGCTTGCTCCTTCAGAGTTTCATCTGGCTTGTGTAACCTCAACTAAGAGACATTAGATCAGCTAATAAATTACTTTTTCATCATTACCAGAGGCAGTTAAATTGAATGGAGGTTTGTTTTGAAATAAATTCCCAAATTTTCAAAAAGTTTAAAGCTCACTTAGATTTCAATGACAGAATAAAATTTTAATTGACATTAAAGAAGGTGAGAACAGCTAAACTGTATGGTATTTACATTCCAGCCAAATCCCACAGTACCACAGGCATATATATATATAAAAAAATAAATAAATAAATAAGAAAGAATGTGAATTTAAGTAATGTAAGCCATATAGAAATACTCTATTTTAGTTATAGATTGCAACAAAGATTTTAGTTAGTTTTCATTTTATAACATACCTTCTTCCTGATATCAGTGAATGTATAATACTCCTTGTCTCTAGCTTTCTTAGATACAGACACCACACTACATAAGAAGTGAAAACAATGAGCAGGCACAACTGTAAATCTTAGACTGGTGAGATGCAGCTGTGAGTTTGTTTTATCTCTTGAATCTAATCACACTTTGCACTATTTACTCCTCTCATTTTACAAGTGCTCAATTTTTTAAATTATCCATTAAAGCTCATTTGATGCAGCCTAACTTTGATAGTTTAGAGTAGTTTTACCAAATGTGAAGCAAAGATCTATTATCAGTGTGAACATAAATTAATAATTTAAAGAAGACTACTTAAATACATAGTTTACTCAGTTTGTGGGGTGTTTTCTTAACCTTTGACATCAGTGTTTAACATGAAGTATTTAATAAGAGCTTCCAAAAGGAGAACTATGTTCCACTAAATGTCCTAGGTTTTAAAATATATGGGTTCTAGGGACAGCAGCACTTAAATAGTAAGTAGTGTTTTAAATCATTAGCCACAACAAGTTTTAGTGGGAAGTTTCTTTTTCGTGTTAATATTAGTCATTTCATAATATTTTCCAGGCTTCTGTGCCTGCTTCCCAGATGTTTATGTTAAGAACAATAAATCTCTCTGATTCATTAACAATATACATTCATTCTACTCTTCTATAGAAAGCCTTCAATTTATTATTCTTTCTGCTTCTGAGCAGAAAGAATGAACAGCAGTATCACCCCAAAAAGCTAATAAGGAGACAAAAACAACAACAACAACAACAACAACAACAACAACAACAACAAAACAGAAATAATAATAATTAAAGACAATATTTTTTATTTCTTCAAGGAGGTAAAAAGACTTTAACTTTCCCTTGGGAAGCCCATAGCTGATGTCTACAAGACTGCTCTGATAATTTGATTTATTAATAAGGAATAAATGAGAATAATGAGAATTGAGCAGCTGAAAGAGGAAAGTTCTTATATGGAAGGAGAAATATTTTAACGTCTGTCCTATTTTCTAACTTTTTTTTTCTTACTTGTTTTTCTCTTGCTCTTTAGTTTGTTTGTTTGTTTGTTTTGTTATTATCTTTTTTTTTTTTTTTTTTCTGGTGGTTTGTTATTGTCTTGTTTTATTTTATTTTTTTAATAATCACATCTTTGAGCCAAGGTTAGAGAGCAGCCGGCACCATCAAGACTTCTCAGTCTCATTTCGTGTCTATTCCCTACCTCCACTCTTGACACTGATCAGTTTGGTTGTGGAACAACCGTAATGGGTTTTGAACTGTGTGGTCATTGGGATTTCTCCAGAGGGCAAAATTCAGTCTGCACATGAGACATCCTCTCCTTTCCATTGCCTGTTTTTTAACTACATTTTCAAATTGATTCACTGGATCACTTAAATATATATATATGTACAAATATATATTATTATTTTTTAAAATATATTATTGCATCACCTCCTGTCATTCAGTTAGAACACACATTCAATTAGAACATCTTATACCAAAAAGGATTTGTTCATTTTTTCAGTAAACTCAAATTTTAACATGAACTGTAAGGATTTTCAATGTACTTTGTTTTATATGCTCCAGTTTTATAAGCAGAACTTTGTACAAAGATATCAACAGTGTCATGGACTGTGTGCTTTTCCCATCATATCCAAAGAGTTAGTTAAATTCTCGGTTAAGCTATCAGAGCAAACAAATTCAGAGTTAAAATAATAATAATAATAATAATAATAATAATAATAATAATAATAATAATAATAATAATAATAATAATAATAATAATAATAATAATAATAATAATAAAGTTTAATCATTAAATTAAGGCTTGATGTTTGATGTTAGGATTATATATTAAAAGCAATGAAATAACTCACACATGTAAAACTACTTATATACATAGGTGTTCTGCAGAATAAGAACCTTCACATTTATTCTGAATTACTTCAGTTAATAGTTTTGTTTTTTCAATCAATAAGAGCACTGGATCACTGGTTGATCAGTTGAATCTATAGCTACTCATGTCAAAATCAGCAATGAGTTAATTTTGCAATATGCAGAATCTTATGTGCAAAATATATACATATTACATGTTTTCAATGGAGCATGTTAAATAGATACTGATTTTTTAAAAATATAAATATATAAAAGAGGGAGGAGTAGAATGGAAAGCTGAAGAAAACAATTAGGAAAGTCATCCATTATGTTATTTTAGAGAAATAATATTGTAAGTTTCACCAAGCTCAGGCGAATTGTGTTACTACATAAGAAAGCAGTTTTCTTGTTTGGTAAAACTGTGATTTCTTTATTAAGTAAATTTGAGTATTTTGACAGATAACCCTTGATGAAATGAGATTAAGATGAAGTCAGTTATTTTTTTAGATTAGGGACATGGTTTAGTGGTTAATATTGGTGGCTGAGGGATGGTTGACCAGATGACGTTGGATGTCTTTTCCATCCTTAATGATTCTATTATTCTATGATTCTATATGTTACTATGAAGAGTATAGATCAAAGAGTATTAATTGTAAAACATGGGATAAGGACAGGAAATTATCCAGAACATCTAATACTATGTATATGAGGATAATATAAAAATATAGAAAAGTCTAGCTTAAGAATGACCACTGATAGAAAGGCAAACCTCTCAGTCATTAGGTGTCTTTTCATAATTGGGTAGAGTTTCATTATCAGATTAAAAGAGTTTTCTTACTGACAAGTTGACTATAGACTCCAATAAATTCTTCACTTTTATTTCATTCTGGTACTTTTAAAATAGAACAGAGATTAATAGCTCTGGAAAACAAATTACTTTCTACACAAAGAAAAAAAATAATCCATAATTTGTAGATATTTTAATACAGCCTGAGCATCCCTGTTCTCTGACTTGGAGAGATTGCTCTATGGGTCAGAAATTCATCTTTCTCATCTAATATTGAATCATACAATTATCAGTTGTGAAGGTGCTTATCACCTGTGCCTCAAAGGAAGCTGTCTGAAGCCACCAACTAATTATAAAAGAACATAAAGCCATCCTCAGATGGTAATGACTCTTGGTTCACTGCTGACTTAGACTTGAATCAAACTAGTGACACAGAGTGAAAGGCTCCATAACACCTTAACAATTCACTGAACAATTCAGGACTTCAGGAAAAAGGAGGAGGCAAGAAGTTTCAAAAAAGGGCCTAAAATTTGCAAAAAATTTACCAAGAATATATTGACAGGGTTCACTAATCCGGAATCTCTGGTATGATCTCTATGTACTGAAGAGTGTAGAATGCAATGAAAAATACTAGTGTTACAAATAAATATGGATTGAAGCAATATATATATATATATTTAATTTTCCTCCATTTCATAAGGTAAAAAAAAATTTGAAAAAAGTGTTCCTGTTTAAAATACTTTAAACACTCAAATCCTAATATTTTCTTGTGAACAAACTTTTCAAATTTACCAACATCTTCAGTTCACCACAATATGTGGGCTGTCAGGTGGAATATTTTGTTTTAGCATTGATATTTGCCATTCTTCTGAAGTAGAATATGTGTATGTTTCTGTGCGTATGCATGTCTGCAAGCATAACTATAGATCTATCTAATGTACTAGTGGAAATATCATAAGTGTTTTTATTAACCTAGCAAATAATAGCAGTTATAATTACTTGGTAATAGGCAGTGTATGTTTTTACCATTAAGACAAACTATTTTTTCCTGTTTTCATAGATTCACTCTAGTGAATTATTATCAGTTCCTTAGATGCTAATTAATGTCTCTCTTTTACAGACATCAGTTCCAGTCTTTTTTTCTTATTCTTTTAGATCATATAACATTGTAGAAAATTGTCATTAGTGATATCACCTTTGTGCCTACCCCACACTATGTAACCCCAACATTTTATTTTCTGTCATATAACTTTTTTGAATTTCATTTAGGAATCAAATTCTAATTGGGAAAATAGATCTTAAAAAATTGACATTATTTTTAATTTCTGCATGGATATTTTTCTCTTTATGGCTTTGAACTGACTGACAGCTAGTTGATGTTATTAATAAGTGTCTATTTCAGATTTGTCCCTCTCTATTGAAAATGAAACATTTTCCAGTTTGGGGGGATTTTAACACCTTGTGTTATTCTTCCAAGATAATTGCTATATTAACTATACTTGCCTGCCTCTGTGAAAATAGAGATGTCTTTCAGTTTCAGAAGAAGAAATGAATAACCTAATCCAAAAGATATGTATGCAAAGGGTGTCTTCCCCTTCCATTAAGGTCCTAAAGATTTAAAATTCCATGTTTTCAACAGTAACTTTCAGTAGCAGCCTCTAAAAACTGCTATTTATGGTTTATGTTTGATGTAACAAAGAAAATCAAACAATTCACTTCGTATTTATTTTAGTAAAAGTTAACACCTGACCTGCCTACCTGTTCTATAGACTACTATTAACCTTGTCTGCAGGAGGGTGGTGGTTTTAAGAATTATGATTGTTAATGGTCTTTGAATGCAGCAGTCTCAGACCACTTAGTCCCTGGTGTACCACATGGCTCAGACTTTTCCAGATGGGAAAATGATA